TCCGCCTCCTTTTTGATAAGCTAATTGAGGGATGCTGGCCAAAAGGTGCAGACAAAGGCACCCACTGCAATTTTTGTTTTCAGCAGGTTCAAGTATTTGGATGAAATTCGCATAGTGTTTTGGCACCTTAAGTAAAGTGCCGCTATGCCCATGGTCTTGGCGTCCTGTCATTTGTAGGCTTGTGCAGATGCTTCCTCCAGGTTCCTGCGGCGGTTGTAGATCCTTGGTAGCTTATGGTGCAGTCACTCCAATGTGGAGAATTTTGGAATAAAGTGAATATACTATTTTTAAAATATTTGGCCTTTTTTTTGAGATGCTATATTAGTGACCTCATTGCACCAGAGCTTCAGTATGTTCTATTTAGATCTCCAGTTTCTTTGTTGGCAAACATGTCTGACCATCTCTTGGTTTTACAGAAGACAAGATGGATGGACGCCTTCAGCTGACAGTAAGTCGCCTGCTGGAACGCAGGCGGCTATTTCATAGGAGCCTAACTAACATTGTGAAGCAGCACCACAAAGTATGTCTGCCAAATACAGTCACTCACTTTAAATGTGTAGCCGCTTAAGTTGTGGTAAACTTACACTGCATGCTCTCCACCTTTTCAGGCTTTCCTGGAAACCTTGAATCCTCCACTGGTGGTTCCAGATGCCCAGCTGACTCGTTGGCACCCCCGGTTTAATGTTGATGAAGTTCCAGATGTGGTTCCAGCAGAGCTCCCACAGTCCCCACAAGTGGAGAAGCTGACTACAGCTCAAGACGTGTTGAATAAAGCAAGAGGCATGATGACACCTAAGGTGAGTCGGGTTTTGTGACTAGCAGCAGTTGGATGGTGTTGTGGGGTCTGTTCAGGCTGTTGCTTTATTTGAAAGGGGGGGGGGGAAGAGTCGTATGCAGTTGTGTACACTTCTATAATACCGCCTTCCCAGACAAATTGGGGGGGTAAAATGGAATTCCCCATCCTGACTGCACCAGTGAGTGGTGCTCGCTATTTGCAAATCTCTGGGGACACAATTTTAAAGGTGGTTAATATTGAAGACCACTTAAAGTAGTGTTTCTATACTTCTCCCAATTGGTTGCATACATGTCTTGGCTCTAGCTAAACAAGAATTATAACTGATTCCAAAATTTCTCGAGTGGCTTGGGATCAGTGTATGAGTTGTGTACACCTATTCCAGCTTATACAGAATCCATCTTAATCTTTTTTTGATATATGGAATGCTGCTGGTTTTGCTAAAACTAATGAAAGAAAGTTTGTAATTGAAGCCTAGATGTTGAAAGCCCTCAGATTAAAGTTTATGGAAGTCCTTTTGAATATTCAAGATTTGAGTAGTTTTTAATTTTGAAGCCTCTGCTTATGTTTTATACACTTATTCCTTACAGATGGAGAAGGCTCTAGCAAATCTTGCCTTGAGGACTGTGGAGAACAGCCTCTCGGAGCAGAAACAAACTTCACCAGAGGAGCCTAAGCCAGTACCAGCCACTTCAAGCGCTCTCAAAGGAGTCTCTCAGTCACTGCTGGAGAGGGTGGGTAGACTAATATCTGCATTTCAATTGGTTTGATTGTGTTTAAAGCCCAACTCTGGGTATCTGAATAAAAAGCTTTGCATTGGGGGGGCCCCTTAATGTTTACATCTAGGTATAGAGGAATAAGGAGTAATTTATCTCCAGCAGTCTCCCATCAGTGCATCAGGTCCCTGCATACCTATTTACAGTGTGCAGGCATGGAGTCGCAACTTACCTCCACATTGCAGTAATTGTCTTGCATTGTATGTGGCAACGGAGTGACTGCTTCCACTTTTGCTGGTGTAGGTGTACTTTCGTTCCCCGTACTGCCATGTAGCGTATCCCTGTGCTCTGGATTTTGAGTTTCACTTGCCAATGGCATGCACTCGTGGACTAAATATATTACTACCTGTTCTGATTTGTTTCTGAGTTTGGGTATGATCAATTATCACTGATCTTTCAGATTCGGGCTAAAGAGGCACAGAAACATCAAGCCATGATGACACGTAAGCCCCAGCATGAAGAGCGGCTCCTCATGATGTCCAGGCTGCCAGAGTTGGCACGAATCCTCCGTAATGTGTTTGTGGCAGAGAAGAAACCAGCGTTGACCGTGGAAGTTGTGTGCAACAGGGTCATCTCCAGTTACCGCTCCTGCATGACTCCAGGTGAGCCAAAACTCCATTAGTTGTGTCTAATGCATTATATTGAATATATGGGTCTGCTGCATCTGATACTAGCTGTTGTCTCCTAGCCAGATTGACAACTGAGGAAAAAATTGTAGTATAAAGCACCTGGAGATTTTCACTGGGTGTAGTGTCTGATCTTGAGGTTTTGCACTGGCCGTGATGTAGCAATTTTTAGCCTTGACTGGTTTAAGTTGTGCAAATTGAGTTAATGTTGTAGGTGAAGTTTCTGAGTCCAGCAAGAGTTCATGTTGGGGCACAGAAAAAGTCAGATTAGGCTTGTCAAAGGGTGAGACGCCAATGGGGGTCATGCTGTTATAGCTTGCCCTATGTCTAAGAGGAGAAGGTCTATGTGGTTAAAAGAATAAAGTAATCGTTTTATAGGCTTTTCCAATAAAGGTAAAGTGCTGATGTTTGTAACATTAGTATTCTATGTGTAAGACCCCCCCTTCACACCGGGGCGGTTCGGCCACACGGATCCGCCGACATGAATGATCCCATACATTGCTATGGGGACCGTTCATGCGGCCAAAACTGCCCTCTGTACTATTTTAGCCACGCTGACCAGTGATGTTTCCATACAGCTTTCTATGGAACCTTGCTGATCAGTGCAGTTTTGGGCGCTTTCAATTGTTTCAGTGCTGAAACGCAGTTTAAACTCCCAAAACCTCCCTTTTGAGATCAGAGAGGTAATTGCGCTGATCCGCAACCACCCTGGTGTGAATGGGCTCTTAGACTGTGTTTTCTGCTTGTGAAATTAGATTATTTACACGTTTCCATACAACATATTTTGAAAGACGGATGGTGCTGTTGGAATAAGGTTTGAAGCTCAATTTTTAGGATTTCCTGCCCACCGCAATACATGTTGTCTGTTACACAATTACAACAGTAGGGTGTTTGTTGGGGTTGGAAGGTGAAGTTTGCAGGCTTGGGGGTACAGGCAGTGGACAGAGCACGGTATGCATGCATGCATGCAGGCAGGCTTGGGGGGTTGGCTGCGGAGGACAGCGCAGTGTACAGATCTCCGGTTCTAACCTGCATATGTATTGAGTGAGTGCCTCCCTCTTACAACACAAATTATACATTAAACAAGGCTTTTACATTTTAAATGATTTTAACTCCTTTTTTCAGATTTCAAGAAAATGCATATTTGAAGTTTGTTTTTACTACTTTAGCCTGATCTCTTTTTTTTGTACTTTTTTTTTTTTTTTCCTCTTCAGGGGACATGGAGAAACATCTCTCATTGATGATTGCGCTCCAGCCAGACTGGCTGTCAATTCATCCCATCAGGAAGGACACGTACTACAAGCTGAACAAGACTATGGACTTGAACCTAATACTGGAGAGACTTGCCAAAAAACTGAAGGAAGAGGAGTCCCAGTGACTTTAAATTTTAATTATGACGGATTTGTTTACATTGGGACTTTGGTTTTTATAGACAAGTGTGCAATCCTAGGAGTGGAACTAATATAGTGGTGCCATTTGAAAGACTTTGGAATCTTGTGTTACTTCTGCAAACCTCAGTGTTTTTTTGTTCTGGTTGTAACAAATGGCTTTGGATTTTTTTTAAATGTTTGGTTCTGTGCTGTAATCTGCTTTCCAGTGTCCTACATCCATTTTGGGAAGACTGTAAAGTCTTGTTAGAAATATCTTTACCGCGAGGTAGCTGTTGGTTTTAGTTTCTAGAAGAGCTGTTGGATCAGTGTGTAGGCTTAGACTCCCACACAGGGACTCTCCTACCTCTTGTTCTTAAAACCTGGCTTAAGCTGAGGCAGGAGATTGAGCAGCCATAATCAAGAGGATACAGCTAACAAGACCTAAATCTCTCAATTAGGTATGGCTTCATTCTTAAATATCCAAGACTGGAGAGGCAAGTTAGAAGTGTCAGTTTGTGACTGGCCTCTTTTTTAAATTGCAGTTTTCATGCAATAAAATGGGTAGGCAACGTTGACACTGACCAATCCAGGCATGCCTGTGGCTGTCGGTCTTGCAGTGCCTCATGGGACTTTATTCTGGAACAGCAAGAGTGCCAAGGTTGCTCACCCCTGCAGTACGACTTTAAGAATGGACCAAATTACACCTATTTGGAGGGAGGAAAGGTTACTGCTATGAAAAGAACTTTTGAAAAATACTAGCCAAATGTTTTTACGGATTACTCGATTGTGAATCAAGTGCCTGAAACAAATATGCTGAGCAGAAAAGTCAAAGAATTCGGACATCTTGTGTATTCAGGCCAGAGATTGAACACGTAGTTAGGGAGGTTGGTGTGACAGCCAGGCAACTAGCATTTTTAGGTCCACAAATACCTCTATTCCCTTCCAGGAAGGTTTCCTTTTTAAAGTTAATCGGTAGGTGTGCAGTAGCATTTTGTTTTTACTTGCTAAATGTAAAAATCAGGAGGGATTGGTTTTTGTTTTTATTGCTGAATGGCAAATGATTCAACTTCCAACTTTGGATTAAACTAATTTGCATTACCTTTTGACTTTTGTACTGTCTTTACTGCTGCACCACGGGTATAAACTATCCCAGAAGCACCACGGGTATAAACTATCCCAGAAGCCAGGTCGCTAATGCTCCCTTAAAATGAAAGCTGCAAAACTTTGAATTTCTTGAATCACCAAAGAAAGACCACACCCCCAATAATTACATAACCCAAACAAATGGAAAGCATGGGGCTTTAAAACTGTTGTATCCAGATTTTGCTGGACAGAATCACATTTATTGATGATCATTCGTTATGAAATTATTGAATTTTAACCTATTTAATGTAAAATGTATGTAACATTCCAGAAAAAAAATCCTACCTTGAGATGTAACGCCCCCCCTCCCCTAGACCCCATTGACGCACCTCATTTGTTCTATTCAATTTCATAAATTGTTTATCTTTAGACAATGTCCATGATTGTTTTGAATTTTCACGATTATCCTCTTTATTTCATGCTTACGTTGTGCATTGGGTCTAGCCTTCGACACAGGAACAGAGCATCACTAATGGCTGTCCACCTGAAAGGTGCTATAAACGATCTGGTGGACTCCCTCAGGTGCCACCATGTTTGATAAGAGGAGTGGAGATTGAACACAGAGGTATAGTCTTCTTGTAGAAAGATGGGGAATCACGGAAGAAGACATCTTTGCTTCCCCAAAGCAGAGAAATTCTTCTACGAACCCTTCAGCCACAGCACTCGCCTTGGATACTCTCTCAAATCCTTGGGCTTTCAGTCTTTGTTACACCTTCCCCCCCCCCTCCCCCTATTCATCTCTTACTGAGGGTTCTACCGAAATTTCTTTGACATGCAATATCCAATCTTGATGCCCCGCACTGGCTGAAGAAGGCTTGGTTCTCTCTACCCCTGTTATTAGCGTGCCTTCCTCCCTGGTTCCAGCCAGACAGAATGCAATAAGAGTTTGGACCTTGAAACTATCCGCTTGGAATCTGCGGAAAAGATCCTAAAAGCTAAAGGTTTATCCTCTAAAGTTGTCCAGACCTTACTGACTAGAAGTAAGCCCGTCACCAGAAGCATTTACTGCCAGGTATGGAAGACCTTGAGGCCTTGTTCACACCAAGTGCGGAGCAGATACGGACCAGAGCAGGTGCAGACCGGATCAAAACTGCGTCCAATGTATTCCTATGGTATTTTGACCTCCAGTTCACATCGCAGCGTGCGGATCCAGAGCAGGTGAAAAAACTGCGGCAAGCCCTATTTTACCTGCTCTGGATCTGGTCTGGAACGCATGCCTGAAAGCCCATGTTAAGCCCATGTTAAACTTAACCAAAACCGGCCCTAAACGCGTCTAAAACGCGGCACAACCCACTGCACTGCAGAAACCTGACCGGATCTGGTCTGCATTTGGTGTGAACAAGGCCTTAAGGTCTTACAACAGAGCCAGTGATGTTCCTTCTATCCTGGGTTTTCTGCCTGAAGGGGCAGGTAAGGGCATCACTGTTAGTTCTCTGAAAGTCCAGGATGCCCTTAGTGTGGATCTGCATGTTCAGCTGTCGGATAATCCACTCCTATCCAGATTTTTTTAAAGCCCTGGCAAGGCTTAGACCTGTGCACAATGTATATAATGAGGCGGTGCGGAATAGATCATGTACAGCACAATGTATATAATGAGGGGGTGTGGAATAGATCATGTACAGCACAGTGTATATAATGAGGCGGTGTGGAATAGATCATGTACAGCACAGTGTATATAATGAGGCGGTGTGGAATAGATCATGTACAGCACAGTGTATATAATGAGGCGGTGTGGAATAGATCATGTACAGCACAGTGTATATAATGAGGCGGTGCGGAATAGATCATGTACAGCACAGTGTATATAATGAGGGGGTGTGGAATAGATCGTGTACAGCACAGTGTATATAATGAGGGGGTGCGGAATAGATCGTGTACAGCACAGTGTATATAATGAGGGGGTGCGGAATAGATCGTGTACAGCACAGTGTATATAATGAGGGGGTGTGGAATAGATTGTGTACATTCTTTTCAATGACCACCAACGTAGGGAGCATTCTTCCCACTGACCACCAGAGTAATGGGGGACCTTCTCCCAATTACCATGTATGTCATGTAAAGGGTTCCTTCTGCCGCTGACTGCCAATCTAAGGGAGCCTGTCTCCACTCACCATTTATGTAAATGAGGATTTCCCTCCTACCTTCGAATGTTCTGAAATCACTAAGGGCCCCCTTTAGCTCAATGTATCTACCCTGTTTCCCCAAAAATAAGACCTAGGTGTGACCATTCCCATGGCCGGTGGTGGCATAAGGGGGAACTTAGAGCTGCGGGAGAGGAGGGAGAGAATCAGCGGTGCCAATGAAGCCGGCGCTAGAGGAAGCCAGGCGGCAGCACCGGAGGGAGCAGAGCCGCATAAGCCGATGCCTCCTCTATAGGACGGGCTCCTGTCACTGACGGAGTGATACCAAATGCACTCCGCCTGTGAGGAAACGATAGTGAAAGCGCGCTTCGCTCATTCTGGCCAGCGATTGGTTAGCAAATTGCTCAGCGAAAGGTACGGCGCCCCTGATTACCCTGATCACCATATTTTTGTACGTGAATAAGTGTGGATTGTTGTACATTAAAAAAAATAAATAAATAAGACCTCCCCTAAAAATAAGACCTAGTGTGTGTTTTTATGAGCCAAAAAAAAAATATAAGACAGTGTCTTATTTTCGGGGAAACACGGGTATGCAAAGGGAACCGCCCCCATCACGTGGACTGTGTATAAATGATTGGGTAAAACCCCCCAGGGCTTGTTTTCACCTCTACTTTCCTTTTATAAATGCTTTTCTATATAACAAATTGAATTATTTCGATGTTGGATGAGAGGTTTAGTCCAGTATAACACTTTTAGCCCTTTAAAAGTGAATTTATAATACAGGTCCTTATCAGGCAAAAAAGGGACACCTGAGAAGAGAAAAGGGACAGCCAGATTTGGCTCCATATGAGGGACAGTCCCTCCAAATCAGCGACGTGGGAGCCATGTTTCGCTGACTACTGATATAAGAGGGACGTCTCGGCTGACTGACTGTATATGCGAATGGGCTGTAGGTGCAGTCATTATTTGCAGGAGCTCCCTGAGAGGTGAAAGTTATTTCAAGGGATCCTCCGTGTTAAAAAGGTCAGGAAAATCTGCTCTGGGGAGTCGGTAGTGGTATTGAACTTCTCAAGTGTTGCAATGAAGAAGATCAGCCAGCAGAGGTCGTCCACTGACAACATAAGCAGCGTCCACCATGTGTTTTCTTATGCTCCCCAGGGGGGTCATCCATACAATATTTAATAACTGTTCAGTCATGAAAGGGATTACGCAGAGCACCTGTCCATGCCCTCACCATCCCCTTACAAACATTATGCTTAAAAATCCAGTTCCAGGTGCCTATCCGGCTGAATTTATCAAAGATACTGCCCCAAAGAGCTTTCAATTAACCCTTAGAAAAAAATATGACCCTAAGTCTTTAGAAATGACTGTATTAATCACATTGGCAAGGCATCTGTAGAGTCTGGAGAAGGTTGGGTCGGAGGGTGGGATTTGGCTGCTTTTAGGGGGAGCTGTTGGGGAGGTGTGAGGAATTTTGGGGAGGGACCATAACGAGCTTGCTATTAATATTGGATCTGAAATCCTGATTTCAAACTGATTGCTTTGTCGCTTCTGAGTCTTCACCTAGCTTGTCTTCAGCGGACGTCTTGCCTGGTCGCTATGTCCACCTCGCACCGGCTGGTTTTGGTTCTGGGTGGAGCCGGTACTGTTGGATCAGGGATTGTGAAGTGTCTCCTGGAAAAAGGTAATATTTTGGAATTGGGTTATTCATACTGTGATGGCACAGATCTAAGAATTGCCACCGTGGTACAGCCTGAACCTTGACGTTATGCTATGAGCCCATTCCAACTTTCTGGTGGGAAAAGGTGACAGGTATGGGGTCAAAGTTTTTAATACAAAGATGCCTTTGAAGTTTGCACTTCCTTATTAATCCTTCCTTCTTTTCATAAACACTTTATATGCAAAAGACAAATTTATAGATCTACAGAGCTACGCCATTAGCCAAAACAGATAATACATACACATGGACATTTGCCTGATAGCCATGCTCCTTGTAGCCTCATACATCTGGGGTAAAGGGAAGCATGTAGATAGACATGTACTGATTCCTTATTAATCCTTCCTTCTTTTCATAAACACTTTATATGCAAAAGACAAAATTTATAGATCTACAGAGCTACGCCATTAGCCAAAATGGATAATACATACACATGACGACTCAGGGATCTATACACACACACACACACACACACACACACACACACGCAAGGTTGGACTTGATGGACATGTGTCTTTATTCAACCTCAAATACTATGTAACATGGACAGTTGCCTGATAGCCATGCTCCCTGTAGCCTCATACATCTGGGGTAAAGGGAAGCATGTAGATAGACATGTACTGATTGCTTAAGGCAACAAAAGAACTTTTCCTGAATACTAGTCTGTAACGGTAAGATTTACAGGATGCAATAAAGAGCAATGGACACATTTAAAAAGGACATTTATACATCTCTCGAGGGGCCGTCATGTAAGGAACAGGGACAGAGAGGGAGAGGAGTCCACAGGAAGGCAGGTGGGCGCTATCTTGAGGCTCAATGATTGGATTAAGGGACATAAATCCAGGTAAAGGCAGGTAGACGCACTCATAGTACACCACATAAATGGCATTATACTTAAGATTCAAAGGAATTTACAAGGTGCAATAAATCTGAGAGTAACAGCAACTAGGTGAGCATTCAACCGGGAGATCCAGAATTCCAAGTTCCTGGCTACACACGTAGCCAAAACTGCCAGCAAAAACTGGGGACAGATCTAGATGGACAGGAGAGGGTTACAGAAGAGTTGTGAACCATGTGAGTCCAGGGGGAAACTTTAAAAAGTGTTATTAATTATAAATAAGATTTTTTTTAAAATTCAGGGTGCAGTGAAGTTCAATGGAAGCAGTTAATAGGGACATTTGTGCATATCTAGATGGACAGTTGTGCCAAGTGGCTGCAAGTCTAGAGGAAGGCAGGAGGAACCTTTGTTGATGGACAAAAATGGGGGGAAAAAAGGGAGACGTTTTAACACACACAAATGGGATTATACAGTAATCTCCCTGTTATCTGGCATCCACGGGGATTGGTAGATTCCAGATAAATGTACTTTCTGGTTGCTTGAGAGTAACTATTAAAAATAAGTCTAACTAATGGCATACCCCATACTACACCATATCATAAACTCTGACTTCATAATAATATTCAAATGCAGTAATCAAAAGCAAATTAAGACAAATAGACACACTTGAGACAAATGGGCACACGATCGTTTCCAGGATAATACATGCCGCAGAACAATAAGTACACCGGGGATTTTTTTTTATGGTTAGATGAGAGTCCTGGTTAGTGGAATTCCAGATAACAGAGAGGTTACTAGTTCATGGCTTTTTGTGTTGCAGGGTTCCAGGTAGCTGTGATTTCCAGGGACGATTCCCGTCTGGAGAAGCTGAGGAATTTCCTACCAGCACAGTACAGAGATAACCTGCACACCATGGTCGGGGATGTGGGTAAGAAGTAGAAGGAGAAATACCACTTCCTGCACTATGTTGGGATGTATGCGGATCGTGTGCTCCATCTGAACCCTATAGCTGGCCATAGGCGTAGCAATTTTCAGTTATTTCAAACACTTTTGATCCACCAGCAATTGCAAATATGATTGTGAGTGATCACTAGGAGCTAAGCACTCTGCCGTCCGTGAGTTTGATTGAACACTGGAATTTGCTCAATTGTGAAGTTGAAACCGGGCAACACATTGACAACTTCCGTACAGGTTCTTTTTTTTATAACAATGGCAACTTCGTAGATAGTGATCACATTTTTCCTGCACATTCAGTTGGGGCAATTTTGATGCCATCGCCTTGTGCTCAATGGAATCCAACGTTTTAGGTCTTCCACTGTTTTATGGTTTCAATGAAAAATGGTATTGAAAGCTTGATCACCCTACCAAATTTCTGCGCATATGGCTCTGCCTGTATCATCCAGTGCATCCATCTTCCATCACCATACCAGTATTACGTAGACTGACCCATAAAGATATCATGGATGCTAACTTTTAGGCAACATTTATTAATCACAGCCCTGCTCTTTGGCATCAGGTCGGTTCCTGGGAAGATTTCTCTAACATTTTTATTTTAAGTTTAAAAAAAAAAAGGGGTTTAAAGGAGAACTATGAGGTCAGGGGTTTTCCCCATAGTTCTCCTTAGGGTAACGGGAGGACACAAACTAGCGTCCTCCCGTCACACTAAGCTCGGTATACCGCGAGCTACAGCTCGCGGTATACTGAGACGCCGCAGCCGGAGCGGATCCCGACATGGACGTCGGGCTCCGCCCAGCTGCGTGAGTGACAGCTGGCTCTGCCTCTAGATAGGCAGAGCCAGCTGTCACTCACTCCAGCTGCGGCGTCTCAGTATACCGGGGCAGAGCTAGAGGCAGAGCCAGCTGTACCCGCCCCCTCCCCCGTCCGTTCCGCCAGTCAGCGCTGGGAGAGGGGAATCCAGCCCCTCCCCGTCACGGCAGAGAGCCGTGACAGGATCGAGAAGTGAGCGAACACCAGTATGTGTTCGCTCACCTCCCGATCTACTGAGCCGACCTGTGACAGTCTCATTGTCACAGGTCGGCTAGAACTATGAGGTGAGTGGAAATCAGTCATCTCATAGTTCTACTTTAACCCCTCGATGGCTGATCTGGCCACATTAAAACGCCCTATATAAAATCGATCTCATTGACCACACATTGGCCACGGTTCAGCTTTCTGAGTCATGGTGCAAACACAGAATGATAAATGATCATTAGAATGGCTAGGGGTTAACAAGAGAGAAAAGGTGAGCAATTTTGATTGCAATTTTTGTTATTATATGCCAGGATAGAATAAATATCGCCAGCACTAGAGCTGGAGACGTTTCTTCTATTCTTAACACGGCGCCATCCGTGGATGTCACTACAAATGCCAACATATCCACTTTGGTTGTAGAACGATATGGAGTGGAGTGCATCTGGTATCTGAATCTTTCCATATGTTTACAAACAGAGATTTCCTAAAAGACTAAATGATGGAAACGTGACATAATTAGACACATTGGCTCGTTTTCGGTGAGAGATCTAGGTGCAACCAAACGTCACCAGTCCTGAGCCAGTGATAATCTGTCCATTCTGGTTCACTATAGAACTCACAACCTGACATTCCTTTTGGTCTAATCCCAGGTTCGGGGAATGAGACAGATCTTAAGCTTCTGAACGTTATGTTACATTTTCTGATGTGTCCCCCATCTGTTCAGCAGACCCAGAGGATGAAGGGTGTGTGTTCCTCGTCTGTTATTGGAGCTGTGTGCGGCAGACTAGCAGAGCCCCTGGCTGTGTCTGGCTTTCTGACCCTTTGTGTTTGGGTTGTGTGCAGGATCTGAGGAGGGGGCGCAGGAGGCGGCAGACGCTCTCGCCAGTCGCGTGGGGAAGGTGACCGATGTGGTTTCATCGCTGGGGTTCAGCTGGTGGCAAGGCGGTCCACCCCATACACAGGCACTTCAGGAGCTGCAGAGGGTACGGTGATAACAGTCTGATATAACACATGACGCCACATCAACAAACATTTTTTATTCCTTGCTTTCATTAGCAATGGCTGAATTGTATTACAAAGTGGAGCTGATTTATGAAAACCGGTCGTTACGCATAGCAACCAAAAAGATTCTCTGGTACAGCTGGAATGTGAAAGCTTCTTGGTGGTTGTGCTTGTCCAATAGAAGCCTATGAAATAACCAGCTGGAGCTGTTGCTCATAGCAACTAGTGAAGATTCCATATTTCATAGGAAAGGTGAAATCTGATTGGGTGGTTTGGGCTTCTCTCTTTCCTTTGATCATTCTAGTTACATATGATGCAGTGCTGCTTGGACATTGAAAAAGGGAAAATGAATTGGATGCTACGGGCAATGGCTTTAAGTCTGCAGCGGTTTTCATACACCAATCCCTGAGAGGCAAGGCGCATGATAATGTTCTCCTGGGTTGGGCACCTCCTAGATGGAGCCATCGATATTCAGTACAAAGTGACAGGTTCTCTTGTTAGTGCTCCCCCCACATACTGATGCTTGCCTTTCCTGTGCTCCCCTGTTCCTCCATTCATCGCTGAGAAATACTTGGTTCTTCTGGGTATAGGAAAGCATGTGACCTACATATCCCCCCAGGATTCCAAGCATAGGGCCTGAGTTATCAACCACCAGGCCCAAAAGCTGCCAAATGTAGAAAGAGAGAAGGTTTGGAACCTCGAGTAAACTCCCACATGGAGCTCACACAGGGTTTAGATCCATGGCTCCTTCAGAAGAGTATGGGGAAGATATCAGTGGGAGGAGGGGTTGCCCTAACAAGAGAACCTGTCACTTGTTATGATTGAGTTTTGCCAGGCATAGTCCAATGATCTCAGTGACAGCCTTGGAGTAGAACCCTATCTAGTGGTCATGTCTTCTCTTTTATTTTATTTATTTTCTCTGTAGGTGCTGAACACTCTCCTCCTCAGCACATTCACCTCCTGGAAGGCCTTCTTTCCTTTGGTGAAGGACAATCCCAACGGAACATACACATTCATCACAGGTAGGGTCCCCATTCACACACCTATCCTCCTATCAGCAGGGTCAGATTTCCATCACTGGAGCCATCCAGAATATTGGGATCATTTCTGAATAAGCTTATATGATATGTTTGTATCTCTACTAATTATGAAAAGATATGTGTGGCTGATGGCAATACCGAATATGAGAGATGTCACCAGCACACGTATGGAAAGGTATTGCTATCAGCCACACATGCAGGGGAAAAAGAACCTCTATCCATAAGCCTGGTGGTCTATTCATTTATTTTTACCAGTCTACCTTACTGCCATTTTGCTATAAGCTTATCACTTTGCAATCTACAACCTTTAGAAGGAGTAGGCAACCTCGGCTCCTGTGAACTATAAATCCCATAAAGCATTGCTAGACTCTGATAACCTCAGGCATTATTCCCACAGGCAGAGGTATTATCAGATTTGTAGTTTCAGCACAACTGGAATACCAAGGGAGGTTGCCTACCACTGGCCTACAGTCACATCACCAAACAGTTCCACCTTTGTCCTGACTTTTAGGTCCTGGATGTCAAATGTGAATGTGATTTATATACAGATAAAGGGCAGGGTTTGAACTGATAGGTGCTAGAACCTAATTATCATGCATATCTCCTGCCTTTGGGGTCATATGGCTCAATTTTCTAAGTAATAACAATCCACATTGTTATTTTCATCAACAAGAACTGCAAATAACAATCGTTATGGCAAATAACATATGTGTTATAGCGTAGTAAATTAAGCCCAGAGTGGTGTAAACCAGTGGTAGGCAACCATGGCACTCCAGTTGAGGTGAAACTGGAATTCCCATAATGACTCTGCCTCTGGGAGTCATGCAGCTTAATTGCAGGAAGATTACCTGTGCGCACATTCATATGCACACCTCAGTACACAAAGAAATGCATGACAGGTAGTTGGAAGTGAACCTGTACTTAGCGCCCATTCTAGGCAGTACAAGGCTCAATTTCAAAGAAGGACCCTATGGAGCCAATGCTGACCTTCCCCATGTTCCATTAATGCATTTCTACATCATCCAAGAAATACCATTTTTTGTATTAGGGTGACACACTGCTGCCTCCCCACAATGCAGTGCTAGTGCATAAGTCCCAACTTTCCATTTTTATTTCAAAGTATGGAAACAAAGGGGTCACCCCGACCTCTGCTCTGAGCTACAGCATGTCACATGGGAGAGCATGCATGGCCCTGTGTCAAAGAGGAACTGCACCCTTATCTTAAAAATGACAACAAAGACACCTTTAGAAATGTTTAGTAATGATACTTGCCGTCTTTTTATTCTTTGCATACGTTATTTTTCTTTTCCTTCCCATTGTTCTCACAGTTGCCATTTTGACTAAGGGCCGATGAATTCATCTCCCTTTACTTCAGGGAACTGTGAGTCTATCTCCTGGAACATGTGACAGTGTACATCATCTGGGGGGGGCGGGTGCTTTCGGTGGGAAATGCCTTTCCCTGAAATCTTGCAAGATTTTACAGTTTACAGATATAATTTCCCAGGAAGGCACTGGTGATGTGGCCTTCCGAGGATGCATGTGAAGCCAGGGCTACATCACCAGTGCTTCCCTCATCCAGGAAGTGGAAAAAACAGTAATTCTAAGTAAAAGCCAAATATGTTTGTATAACTAATGATTTCATATCAGCATGCAGAGTGATGTGATTTTTAGTGAGAGGCAGTAAAGGTCTGCTGTGAGGGTTAACTTACTAAGCAGGTCAAATATTATACAGAAATCTTAGGTGACCATAGGAGGGAGTGCAGGGAATGGGGCAGAGAAAAGTACAATCCTTCCTGCAAAATGAAATTGACTTTGCCCAGTATAAATGAACAAAAGCAACAATAAAGCTCAATTGAAATTGTGGTTTCATTTAAATGAACAAATTCCAGATCCAACAAAACAAAAGCTATACAAAAGTCTTAGGGTTTGTTTTCTTTAAAAAACAGCCACAGCCTGAGTAGAAAAGTTTGTCCCCTGCCAGCATGCTATACAGCAGGATCCTTGCTCTCTGTGTGGGAGCAGTAGTCTCTCGGCAGAGGTCTGACATGCCCCTTGCTGAGTCACAACCAGAACTCTTCAATCAGCTTTGCTCATTGCAGAGTCATAGGTCTGACTCAGCAGAAGGGGGGCTGGTGCCGGACATCTGCAGAGAGACCACTGCTGCCCCACAGAGAGCAAGGGTCCTTCTCTGGCAGGGGACAGGCTTTTATATTCAGGCTGTGGCTGCTTTAGAATTGTATTGAACTGTAAGATTTTGCATTTGGAATGTATTTAGCTGATTAAATGAAAAGGTTCAATTGGGCTTTAAAGTCTGCTGCTCGGTGAGTGGGCATGGCGCTCAGCCTCCAGTGATGCGACGTCCACAGACTCCCTCGTCCCTCTGCCACCACCGCCGACATCTTCTCCAGGTCTTCTTCCCGGTTTGGTCACTTTGGGCATGTTGATTGGCCTGCCTGAAATAACGTGAGAGTTACTTTGTCCTGGCAGCCCACATCATGCCGAGAATGCAGACTGAGCTGTTTCACTGGCTTTCTCTGGCTACTGTACTTTCTGAGTCATTCACCTGCGATAAACAAGTCACAATGCCTGATCTGAATACTTGTTCCAGGTTAGTGGCTTAGTATTTATTGAATCGAATCAGCATGAAAGTCATGCTATTCAAAAGGAGAAGTTGGCAATGGCAATCTACATTCTTGCCGTTACTGGCTCATTTTGAAAATTCTAGTTGCCTGGCTATCACACCGGATCCTCTAAATTATCTACAGTACTTTCTAAGCCACTGACCTGGAACGTGCATGAAGACAGCAAAGTCAGACTCCTTTTTTTGCTTTCTAGCTTTGGGTCAGTGACTCAGGAAGTTTTGAAATCATTAGAGCAACATGATGACCGAGCAACCAGCATTTCCAGACTCTGAGGTCTGCAATGGTGGCCATCAAATTTCTCCTGGCATAGATTTCCTTTTAACACTTCAGACGCACATCATATTTCTATATTCCGTACAGCATTGACATTGCCCCAGCTTTACATTCTAAGTCGCATTTGTGTCTTCCCTCCACAGGTGGTGCTGGCGAGCGCCTGTTGATGCCCGGTACGGGGTTCCTTACTTTAGGAGCAGCAGGAGCTTTGGCCTTTTCCCAGGTTGTGCGGGAGGAGTATCCTGATATTCCATGCAAACTTAATGAGGTTTGTAACACATTGTAAGCCACGTCAGAAAGAAAAATGGTAAAAGTGGTACAAATGAATTGGATTTCTGATCTGATCTGAGGTGTGGGAGGGAAGGGTTGTTCTTGCCATTCCCAGCAGCCAACATCCCTAGCAGCCAACATACCTAGCAGCCAACATCCCTTGCAGCCAATCATAGTCCATTCCATGTTGCTAAAGCATGCATGGGAGCATAAAAGAGAGATCTGACTTATGAGTTCACACATCCTATTTCAGCAAGTAAATTCACTAAAATTGTATTACTCTAGTTCATCATAAATAGTGAGGAGTGAAGCGGCATGAGTTCAGTTTGCTCGGATGTTTGCAGAACCCTGACAAAATCTACAGTTAGTCTTAACGGTAATGGTATTTCTAAGAATCTTCCAGGACAGCAAGCCTACTGGGGTTGCTATCCTGGAAGATGATTGGAGAAAATATGGGTTTGATGGACATTCAAGCGAACTGAACCCAGGGTTGTCTGTGTCCTAGCAACCAATGATATAGTGTGACCTGCACAGCGCTATAGGCTGCTCGGATGCTAGAGGCTTGGTCGCTCAATGTCATTGGCTTCTAAGACACAGACGGGCCCACCATAACAACCAATGATGTTGTGGGGCTGCCAAAATCTTAGCAACAAATGATGCTGTGACACAAAGTAGACCTTGAAATAAAATGCACTGTGTGGGTCCCCTCATTCTGTAAAAAGCACCCAGTGTTACCGTACTAGGTGCAAAACGTACTACCGCGTTTCCCCGAAAATAAGACACTTCCCCCCCCCCCCAAAAAAAAAAATCACACTAGGTCTTATTTTTGGGGGATGTCTTATTTTACATGCTGTCACAATACCTGCAGGCTGCAGCTGTCCTGGAGCTCTCCTCTCTGAAGCCGTCCACCGTTCTCGGTGGGATCCCCGCCAGGGAGCCACCTCTCTCGTCGCCAGGCTAGACTGCTCAGTCACCTCACTTCGACCCCACTGGCCATACGTTCCTTGCTGTGCTGCTGCCTGCTGGGAAATGTAGTTTTCTGCCCGGCGGCAGCTTTCTAAGCAAAGGTGTCTGCTGATTTTGTGACAGGGACAGCATGCGGGAGCTGCGGCGCAGCGGTTAGTCCCCGCCAGGTACTCTGGTTGCTCTCTGGGCCACCCCCAAACTAGGTCTTTAGGTCTTATTTTCTGGGTATGTCTTATATTACAGGAAGGTTTAAAAATAGTGCTAGGTCTTATTTTTGGGAAAGCACGGTATATCACACTTACTTCAGCTAGATCCCAGGGAATATGGAACAGCCAACAGGAGAAGGCGCTCTTGCAATAGACTGGGGGAGGGGGGGGGGTCTTTTCAGAACATTTTATTTGCTCTGCATTCCCCATTAATCTTCTCAGACAGACAGCGATGTTGCCCCCAGTGATGCATAAAACAGGGTGTAGGTACCGTAAGTATAAATGTAACTTTTTTTTCTTTGCCGGTACATTTTGCATCTAGTACCATTGGGTGCTTTTTAAATAGGAGGGTCCCGGACAGAATACACAGATCTTACATTGTACTGCAAGGTCTGCTTTAAGGTAAATTAAGCTACTGTCAGAAGCTGTGAGTTTTTATTATCCACAGGTCAAGATCAACATGGGAGTGGCCCTTCCGGAACGCCTCGGACCCGGCTACGTGAGCCACCTGGAGGTGGGAGAGGCAGTTGCCTCACTGGTGGAGAAGAGACGAGTGTCACATACTGTGTTGTGTGCCAACTCCACCACTGACCTCAAGACTCTTATCTTAGAAGGTAAGCTGTGAGCTCTGGGACACCTTTCCACCAACTGCCTGATTCTAATTCCCGCTGTACTGCAACAACCCGTCCACTGTTACCTCATCTACAACTTCATTACTCACCATACTACCCAAATCACAACCAGAAGGTCAAACCAAAGTCCCAGCCAAGCCTGCACCTTCCATCTGCTTGAGACAGACAAGTAACAGCATCACTGAACACTGTACAGAAACATCCATTGAAAATTAAGTATTATATTGCAAGATACCAGGAGCTGCACGTTGTCCATCACAACCTTGGATGGAGAAAACCCCCACAAGTGGATTTTGAAGATGTCATTTGGAACATACCATTCTGTTGAGAGTTACGGGGGGACTGACCACTCTTTATAACGTGTTAGTGAACAGAGGGGGATGACTCCTAAGTATTGTTGTTCACCCACCAGCAACTTCTTTTTATGCCATGTCATAAAAGGGTTGTCCACATTTCACCAAAGGTAGATAGATGTGTCTATTCTCAAAGCGAGCTCTGCCATCTTCACTATCGCTGACTCCATCAGTGGCACACCATGCACTCAAGATGCTGGACGTCAGTCACCTGACTTGTGTCGAAAGTCCTGGGCATGTACGCAGGGCTGGATTTCCCACAAGGCCAACTAAGGCCCGGCCTCGGGGCAGAAGGGAGTAGAGGTGCAGCAGGGGTTTGGAATTCCTATCTCTTGATGCCTGGGACATGCAGTTGCGGGCGCCTGGCGGGTAGTTGTTATCTACATTTAGCCGTGCTTTGGGCAAGCAGGGCTAATGTACAGTGGGGAAGCTGCCGCTTGTTCTGTACAAGTGATCACTTGTATGCAGCCTGTAGGTCTGCAATTCTCCATGGTAGGGAGCTTTGGCGGGTAGGGGGGCGCAATGAGGTACCTGGCCTTGGGGCAGCATAGAGAGTAAATCCAGCCCTGCATGTACATTTGCCATTCTAATGGAGTGCAGTGGCATACTGAGGGCCTCTCTGTTTGCGGTTCAGGCTCTAGTTTTAGGCAGGAAGTGTATTAGAGCCTTCATGTCTGACATCAGAGAGGGGAGGGAAAACAGAAGGAAATAAAGTAAAGACTGGGGAAAAAAGGAAGAGGCACTTCAACAATAGTTGGGGGTGCTGATGGTGCCCAATATTTGTAGATCATTTTGTTCATCTAGAATAATAGCCCAGCCACTGTGATCACTGGAAGAAATCCCTCTGCTTTTACTATGGATCAAAAGATAGTGTCTGATGTTATCATAAATTGGACAACCCTTTTTACATATGCCCACGTATTAATACATGGTCTCTATTTCCAAGGTTTGCAATAATGAATGGTTGAATGATGGTTAAAGCTGACTCCCCCAAGTCCAGTATAACCTCTGGACCTTCCTTTTCATCTTGGCTGGCTATCTCCTGTGTAAATTAAAGAATAAAAAAAATATTGTCTGTAATTGTGAAGGAGTATAGGAGAGTACAAGCTTAGACAACCCGCTGCCCTTTGACAATGACATTTACATTTTTTACCGCCGAAAACCTTTGCACTTCCTGAAATTCCTTTCTTTATTCGTGTAGGACAATGGATTCTATTCTTCAACATGTGGGCATAGCCCCTGCCTCTAAAAGGTTTGGACACTATGCATGACAAAAGAGGCACCGCCCCCTTTAGTGGCTTTACCCCCTGCATACAAGCGGAGTACTATCGAAATAATTTGTAACAGAACAATTTTCTGTAACTCAGCCATGTTTTAGCAGAGCAGGAGAGAGATGTCTTATGCTGGGCACACACCTTACAACCATCACAAGACTTTTGTCTTACGATAGTTGTAAGGTAATTAGGAAACGTACAATCTGCCTATCTTGGACAGGCAGATCGTACTTGCGATGATGGCAAGCCGTGCCCCCCTGAGGGGCGGGCTTCTGATGACGGCAATGCCGAACGGGCAGTGTGCGCTTGCGCACACCGGCCCGTCCGGCTTTTATCTTAAGAACATGCTACACACCCGCCGAAAATCGTACGATGCTCGGCGGGTTTTCGAACATGTTCGTAAGATAAAAGTCGTGCGACCTTACAGTAGTAGAGGTTGCACGGCTTCCACACACCTTACGATAATCGTACGATCGCGGTTATCTCACGATTATCGTAAGGTGTGTGGGCACCCTTACCTTCACGGGACACTAAGCTAAAGTAAACTTGCATGTAGGCGCAGAGCTATAGCCAGTAGATGGGGATGTACCTCTTTGATTTGCAGTGTCCAACCTCCAAGAGGTAGGAGCTATAGCCACATGTTGAATAGAATCCTGGGTCTTCCATTGAATGCTGGGAGAAAATAATTTAGTTGAATGCACAAACTTTAGACATTAATTTCCTAGTTTATATATTGCAAACATATTATGTAGGCATGTGCAAATCGTTCCGAAACGAAATTCGGATAAGTCAGGAAATCACCAGCACTCAGTAGTAAAGTTAAATATGTCCCTTTTATTGGACAGAAAGCGTCACAGACATCCAAATAAACGGACGTTTCGGGGCCGCGCAGGGTCCCTTCCTCAAGGCGGAAAGATGTGACGTTTTCGGAAATTCGGACATTGGGATGTATCCGAATTACAGATATAACTAATACAAACCAATCCGAATTTCCGTTTCCGAAATTCATTAGCGGTAGTTCGTTCGAACGTTCGTTTCTTATTCGTTTGGTTCATTCGTTCCAGCAAAGTTACATTAGAGAAGGAGAAAAACATTTTTTTCCCTCTCAAATGTCACATTGCTGCAACGAACGAATGAAACGATTAAGAAATGAGAACGAAACGAACGTGCAAACTAACTACCGCTAACGAATTTTGTCCGAATCACGAATCCGAATTGTGAAAAACGAAATAACACAAAATCCGAATGAAAACAAAACTAAACAAATGTTTTGCCAGTGCACATGTCTAATATTATACATCATTTTACAATGTACACTCATATCTGTGCCTACCACACTCAATACAAATACACTTTTGGGCCAATTTGACCAGCAGCTTACCAATATTTGCGTGAGGAGGACTACAGCAAGCGCCATACTGATGATGTAATTGGTGGAAACTGAAGTCAGGGCCCCATTACTATGAGCAAGAGCGCGAGCCAGTTAACCCTTGTGTTAACTCTTGGAGGCAGAATCCCAGCCTTGGTAGATTCCAAGAGGCTTTTGGAACTAAGAATAAGAAGAATCCTAAACTCCCATTACTGTTCTTAACTTGCCAGTAGCCAGGCTGTCATGCTGTAGCAATGTGTTTAATTTTTTGAATCATTTTGAGAAAGAGGTCAGTGATAACTAGGGATGCACCGATACCAATACTAGTATCGGTGCCGATACAGAGTATTTGGGCGAATACTCATACTCACCCAAATCCTCTGATACCCTCGATATCGGTACTTTGCCGCGAGGGAACATGGAGGCGGCTTCCCACCTAGTCAGGAAGACGGGCAGCAGGTAATGACCCACCTCTTGGCTTTTTGATTGGTCAGGAAGCCAGCTCCATGCTGACTGGGAAGCCAGTTTCCCGGCCAATCAGTATCAAGCCGGTCAAACAGCATGGAACCAGCTTCCCGGCCAATCAGAAAGCCAGGCAGCGGGTAATGACACGCCACCCTGCTTCCTGATTGCCCGAGAAGCCGGCTCCATGCTAGCAGGAGTACCGGTATCAGTTCACGGTATCTGCGAGTACCTAAGGATAAATATCGGTCCTCGTAATCAATACCGAAATTGGTATTGCTGCATCCCTTGTGATAACAGTCACCATACAGCATTTCACAGTACAGGTTTCCATCAAAGCGCAGGTCAGCCTTTCTCCTAATACCTTGTTGATTCAATGCAAACAGCTCTGGTTCTTGCCAGTACCTGCCTTCAGTGAAGGGTCCGGAAACACACACATCAGGTCTTGAGGGTAGGGAAAATAGATAAAAAGGTCATGTTTTTTGGAATCCCTTTATATGTGCATTCTCCTCACTTATCCCTGCAGGCTAACGGCTGAACAAGCCCTGAGAGCATGCACAATTAAATCGGTGCTGGGGAGGATTTGGCTCTTGGTGCCATGGCCAACCATTTGATTTAAAAGGCATGTTCTACAGTTGACGTCATTTAGCTCTGAAAATAGCGATTTTGGCAAATAACGTAGACGCCATTAATTACAGGCAGTGTATATAAATATACTCTTAAATATTTCAAGATGTTCACTGAGATTTCACAACAGACAACATTCAATTTTCCATAGAATATTCATGTTCCATTCTGAATAGTTGGTATTCTTCCCAACACAAAGAATGCGTTTGCCATTGTCCTATTTAAAGTTACACAAAGCACGCTGAACCATTCCTCTTTTACTAAATACTTTATTGAAAATAACTTAATCTCCTTCAGAAAAATAATAAACCTTTATAGTTTCCCTTAAGGTAGTCTGTACTTGTCCAAGCGTGGTGGAGCTACTTTTACCAGCATGCTTTGGCCAAGCTGAGCCTTGTAGGTCCACCATAAATAGAGATGTTGCTTAACCATGCCGCATACAATAAAATAGAGCTAAATATAATATTACATCTAAAGTGATCTGTGAGAACAAATCTGTTTCCAGAAATTCATCATTTTTTTTGTATCCTGCTAAGGGTAGCCATACCCGGCCTGATAAAAGCAAAGGATGCAAGAGAATCCAGCATAATGCATGAAGGTCCAGCATTGGTTGACTGGGCATATAGAGGTTAAACTAGAGTGACATGGCACCTACTGAGAGTTGGCGGCGCTTATTACACACAGAGAGTTTATACTCTGTTTTCAAGGGAACTCCTTGCTTATGTGCCACATTGGTACATATGTTGATCCTGGGAAAAGAGGGCAGAGCTTCTGGTAGTGTAAGTATCAAGAAGTAAACATGGCCGACGTGTCACTTAATTTTCAATGACAGATCTGCCCATTGGTGTCAGTAAGCCCTAAGGCTGGGCACACACCTTACAACCATCGCAAGACTTTTGTCTTGCGATGGTTGTAAGGTACTTAAAAAAACGTACGATCTGCCTATGTTGCATAGGCAGATCGTACTTGCGATGATCGCAAGCCACGCCCCCTGAGGGGCGGGCTTCCGATGACCGCAATGCCGAACGGGCAGTGTGCGCTTGCGCACACCGGCCCGTGCGGCTGTTATCGTACGGACATGCCACAAACCCGCCGAACATCGTACGATGCTCGGCGGGTTTTCAAACATGTCCGTAAGTTTAAAGTCGTGCGACCTTACAGTAGTAGAGGTCGCAAGGCTTCCACACACCTTACGATCATCGTACGATCGCGGGATTTCCCGCGATTATCGTACGATAATCGTAAGGTGTGTGGGGACCCTAACACTCTGGGCACTGTTTTCCAGATCTCTTAAAAAGTTGAAAAAAAGTTAATTAAAATGAATAAACAAGCCCCCGTCCCAACACATATGAATGTAAACGCATGCTTCGTGTGCGCCTCTGTATGAATGAAAATTGCTATTGACACGCACACGGGAGTGAAAACAATAATTCTATGGCCAACATTTACAGTTAACTCTAAAATGAATGCCTGTAAAGGGTTTAAAAGTGCCACTTTTCTGGGTACTGTAGTTTGTCTGTTTCACAGGCGTGCGCAATTTTAAGATTAACATATTCATCTATTTACGCGACGCAACCTAGTTTTTTAAATAACATTTAAAAAAAAAACCTGGGTAATATATTGTGTTTGTGTGTACGAAAATGAACAATTATTTTACTGAGAATAATCGGTTTTTATAAAGAGTTGCTCTAATATCATACAACATAAACAACTAAAAGGTGCATTTTAACATGTGCGCAAAAAGTTTTTTAAAATGGCTACGTTAGGGTTCGAAGCTTCCTGTCAACCACTAGACAGCAATCAGAACAGTAGGTGACCGTCACTCACAAGGGGCTTTGGTTGGTGCACCTCACCTCCCTGATAAGATACAGGGAGGGAAGAGGTAAAGGTCAAAGGGGTAAGTACAAAGACTGAGCGGATAGAGAAACAACACCCTAATGTAAAGTCCAGGGGTGCAACAGCTCTGGATTTGCCTGTCTATGGCCACCCTTAGAGGATGCAGCTGTATCTATAATCACATTGGCAATAATATAAAAAACGACTTTAAAGTCAACCTGCCATGAAAGACATATGGAGATTGCAATAGCTGACCTCCTCCTGAAAATAATAGGTGCTTGGCATGTACGCTGACCATTTGCATTTCAATCGTTCCTGAATCATTGACCCAGAAAGTCATAGTAAAGTCAGCAACTTCTTGTTCCAGGTCATCCTCTGAAGCCAGAGGGTCACCATTACAGCCAGACAACTAGCATTTTTAGGAGAGGCAAGCAGAATAGTCTCAATGCTTCCCTTAAGACAGATTTACTTTAATAACACCTCCAGAATTCCTAAAAAAATATGTACATTACAAATTCAGTGTCAGAGAAAGCAGTAACTTCAGAAGGTCTTCAGCCTCAGTGCATACCATATACAGTATATAACCAAAGGTTTGCGGACACCTGACCATTCTGTGAGAATTTGTGAGGTCAAGTATTGATGTTGGATGAGGAGACCTAGCTACAATTGGCCTTCCTATTCATCCCAAAGGTAGGGATGTAGGGTTGAGGTCAGGGCTCTGTGAAGGCCATTCAAGTTACTCAACACCAAATTCATCAAACCATGTCTTTAAGGAGATGGGAGATGGCTTTGTGCACTGGGCACAGTTCTGCTGGAACAGAAAAGGGCCAAACTTGCAACAAGGTTGGAAGCGCACAATTGTCCTGGACTAACATGTGGGTGACAGTCAGTCCTGGAGTAATGAGATCTAGCCTGCGTGGTAGGGGTGATGGTCAGGTCTACCTGGGAGGCATGTAAATGACAGGTTGCGCTCACGTGAAATGGGCAGAATGTCTACACATACTGTCAGTCAAATAGTGTTAGTGTGATGGTCAGCTCTCCACATACTTTCAGACACATAGTGTAGGTGTGATGGTCAGGTCTCCACATACTTTCAGACACATAGTGTAGGTGTGATGGTCAGGTCTCCACATACTTTCAGACACATAGTGTAGGTGTGATGGTGAGGTCGCCACATACTTTCAGCCATATAGTGTAGGTGTAATAGTCAGGTCTCCACATACATTCAGCCATATAGGGTAGGTGTAATAGTCAGGTCGCCACATACTTTCAGACACATAGTGTAGGTGTGATGGTCAGGTCTCCACATACTTTCAGCCACATAGTGTAGGTGTGATGGTCAGGTCTCCACATACTTTCAGCCACATAGTGTAGGTGTGATGGTCAGGTCTCCACATACTTTCAGCCATAAAGGGTAGGTGTGATGGTCAGGTCTCCACACACTTGCAGCCATATAGTGTAGGTGTGATGTCAGGTCTCCCCATACTTTCAGCCATATAGGGTAGGTGTAATAGTCAGGTCTCCACATACTTTCAGCCATATAGTGTAGGTGTGATAGTTGGGTGTCCACAAACATCTGGCCATATACTGTAAGTAATCATTAAATTTAGTAAAACTTAAAGTGGAGGCATTATCCAAAGTAACCAGATTCCGGAATTAGAGCTAAAAAAAAAAAATCACAGCTAACTGTACTGGTCACTAGAGACAACACCCTCTCTTCCCTTTCTTGTACAGCATCATCTACAATTAGTCATATATTGATAAAAGTAGTAATTTAAAGGAGAACACCAGCTGAGATAAACCACCCCCTCCCTCAGCAGTTTTATATAAGATCAGTTACAAGAATTTGCCACTCTTTTTTCTGAAGGTGGGATCCACAACAACACCTAAAATAATGGTTAGATATAAGGTCCCCATAGCTGAGGACACGTTTCTAATAAAAGCAGCTTGTGATTAGGAAGGGGGGAGCTACTGTTGACAAAACTGCATTGTTTGGCTAGCTAGTGTCTGCAGTCCACATCAATAGGGAGGTAGCAGAGATAGACTTTGATACCCAATTCTTTATTGTTTTCTTTCAAGAAACATATCCAAACCCAAACTCATTTTTTCCACGCAGTATGTTTTGCTGTAGTTCTCTTTTAAACTATTTATATATCTACTTATCAGCTTCATAGACAATCAGAGCATTTCACACATAACAGGGTGGGGGTATACTGTCAGGGGGTGTAAAATCACGTGCCAGTTTTGCCGTAGGCATACTTAATGAACTTGGGTAACAGTTCCATGCGCAGTGCACAGCATGCGACTAGAATAATTGTTTGGGCCTTAGTGGTTGCAGCCTTGATGGGTCACATCTCAAAGTCAAGCAAGGACATCACTTTTTTGCACATAATTATACCATTGGAAATACAGCATATCATATGGCTGTTTCTAGCTCTATGTATATTAATGATCCTTCATACAGTGCAATGCATTGCCAGCCATAATGTCATTATTCCCATTTCTCCCTTACAATCAGTACATATAAAGTCGATGTAAACCCTTCACTGAACAATATTTGGTTTCTAAAGCACTGTGTATCATAACCAACTGACATTTATTAAAGCCCCACTCCAAGCAGAAAAACAATCCCCTTGTAGTGCCTATTAAATCCATGGGTAAAGGAAAAAAGCGTAATACGTACGTTATCACTCAATCCTCCAGGCTTCCCCTACACTGTGCCACCGGTCCCCTGAAGCCTCTTTTCTAAGCTCTGGTCGGCAGTCACACTGTGACGTCATTACATACAAGATCAATAATTCTGCGCTGTATGTGAGGAAAATCCAGAGTGTCGGAGAGAAGAGGTAAGTTTTGCAAGCAGAGAGAGGCAACCTTGACACTCCAGCTGTTGTGAAACCACAAATCCCATAATGCCTCTGGGAGTCATGCCTGTGGCTGTCAGTCTTGCAATGCCTCATGCCCTGTATCACAGCTTATTCCTCTACACCCCTGACTTAACAAGCACTTAACCTCTAAAAGAAGAAAGGGGGGGCACTGCAAGGGAGTTCCGCTTTAAATGTTCACTCCAGCATAGCACTTCCTGGACAGGTGTCCCAATAGTGACAGCAGAGGACCACGTCTGTATAAGGTGTATTGTAGACGCAGCTGGAAACCCTGTAACAGGGTGACAATGCAGGAGCACATCTGGTAGACAGGGAGAGAGCGTTGTCACCCTATCACAGAAGGGGCCTGCAAAGGGAACTTCATGGCACGATCAACAGATATTTTTTCAAGAAAGCTGCAGATTTAAAGATATTGAAAAATACTTTTAAAATAAGTTTGACATGTTTAAGCTTACAAAACATTTCTGCGATTGTGTTTACATCTACTTTATGGCCTCTGCAAAATTTAGCTAAGCCGTTTGTTTTTCAAAGCCTTGCTTTGATCTGAAAACTGTCATTAAAAAACAAGGACAGCCAGAAGGAATACTATTTTCTGTCACTCACAATATTGTAACTGGCACGCTGAGTTCCTATAGTGATTTAATTGGTTGCTTCTAATGTCACTCTGTCCATGCTGACTCCAGAGCCCAGCTGCTTCACATTAGTGCAATGCGGGGTAAGCTTTTGGGATGCAGGACAAATGTCACTGTCCCACCAAAATGAAGGGTGGTTGGGTGGCCTACATATATGCCTCTGTTGGTCAGTTGTCCAGCCCCCTATTGTTTTCAGTTTCACATTATCGGTAGGAAGATTGACCAGTGTTTACAATCGGCTAGATTTACACAGATAAGGTGCATTTTAAGCTTTGATTTGTCCCCAGGACAAACGAGACTTGTAACATATCAGAAGCAGTGTACTGGCCCCTCAGATATCAGGCGGTGATGGCGGGATTGGAAGGGTCTCCAGATAAGCCAGTGCACTCTGCAGGGAGGTCAAACAATATCCTTCCTCTCCGATCAGGTACCTGAGGAAGAGAAACACATTGACACTTTCCAGGAATAAGTTACAACAGTAAAATAAAGGCTCTTTATGAAGCTGTATATTAGTCAGTTTAAAACAGTCCTGACCTGGGTTAAAACAGTCCTGACCTGGGCTTTCTATGGTTTCCTAAAGTACCATTAAAACGGAACTCTGGCATTTATTTCTTGTGTAATGTATGGGACTTGCCTGCATTAGCTACTCATGAAGTCTAGGGGTTCAGGAATAAGCTGTAATACTTCCCTTATTCCTTACTTACTGGTGCTCTCCTCTCAGACGCACAGGGTTGTGAGCTGGCCCTCACCTTCCTCATGAGCAATGCAGGAGTACTGGTCCTGCTTGGTATGCTATTACATCACAGTGTGACTGCCAGAATGGCGAAGAGAAGAGGCTTTAGGGGACCAGTCGCACAGCATGCAGGAAGCCTGCCAAAGCGAGGAATAGGGGTTTTTTTTAAATTCCCAGTGTAAGCTTTATTTTGAAGTTTAAAGGACAACTGTTTCTTTGGTACAATTGTCCTCTAATAGATTCCCCCACCCGCCTAAGTACAGCCCACCTGGACAAATACTCACCAACTCCTCAATCCATGATATTCGCTATGTGGCGCTGCCCAGTGCCGCATAGCCTTTCCAGCAAAAATGTCCTCCTCTCAGTGCATGAGCATGCCACGGCCCCATTCATACCTATGTGTAAGCCATACTCTGCTGGACCCCTGGAAGCTGCCATGAGAATGGCTTATAGACAGGTATGCATGGGGCCACAGCATGCATGTGCAGTAAGAGAAGGATCTGATGGGGGAACTTTTGCAGGCAGGAGAGGCTATGGGGTGCTAGGCAGGGCTGACAGGGAAGATCACCAGATCGAGAGAAAGGTAAGTATTTGGCCAGACAAGCTGCACTCAGAGGGGAGATTAATGAAAGAACAATTGTACCATTGGCACAGTTGGCCTTGATGACTCTGACACGCAATTGATATTGATATTACTGCTCAGGCAGCTCAAGTTGCTGTAGTGAACAGTGTTACTGCAAGTACATACACAACATATTGCCTGCATGTAGATTGTAAGCCCTCACGGGCAGGGCCCTCCTTACCAGCTTGTCTTGTATTGTATTGTGATTGTAATATCTTCCTTATATTGTAAAGCGCTGCACAAACTGTTGGCGCTATATAAATCCTGTATAATAATAAATTTAGTTCACAGGGCAGGATGTGGGGACAGGGTCTCTTTACCAAAGATTGTTTGTACGAATGATCATTCTTCTATACATTTTTGAAATCTCCCATTTCTGTGGGGGGACCTCAGATAAGATTTCTGCCCTCAGACACATTAGAAAACGTTCCCAGCAAATATATCAGAAAACAGGAGACAGCAGATGTGGTGGGAAGAGAGTAGGAGGCACAGAAGTGGCCAAACGAAATCGAGGGAGACGGCAGTCTGCACATTTAGCTCAGGGAAATCTCGTCAGACAATAAAGCTGTCACAACAGCAGACATGTCAGCCGGGCAGCTAAAAGTGAGTGACATTACAAGGCCAAAGCTCTTTCCGTTTAGTCATTAATCACAGGGCAGAATCCGTGACATTTACATAAACTGTCATATTAAACTACATGGTGGCGCGGGCACTGCAGCCAGTACTAGAAATGTGTACTCACCCCTCGTGTATGAACTCCTCCAGTGCCGCACACTCTGACACCAAGTGGGACAAGCCGCTTTTCAAAACTACAAAGGCCAAGATGGGCAACAGTTCATCTGCACCGCTGGAAAAGGTCAAAGAGAAAGCATGGTGAAGGGATGGGCACTGTAGACAATCAGCTTTAAAAGAATCTTCCTTAACTTGATTTAAAGGGTCAATCCACGCAAAAAAGATATTTCAGTATTGTAGATGCTGGAGAGGTAAAACTATTGGTGTGATCTCCATGCTGAGTCGCTGGGTCTGCATATCTGCTCTGTCCCAGGAGCTCCCACTCTACCTGATGGATTTTTTTTATTCATTCATGTTATGGAGAATGTACCCCTGAGGAGACTGGACACACGAAGGTGGATGGGAACAGAGTCAGGAATTATGGCGGGGAGAGCTCATTGCTGGAGTATACAACACATAGGGAAGCCATGGCATGTTAGGCATTGATGGATTACAATGGTGACTGGTGTAATATCGCTTCTGGTGAAAATGCAGTGGTATTAAACCAATGCTTGAGAATCTATACAGCAAAGTAACATTTTAAGCCTAACATAGCTTATAATACACCCGATTGATGCTATCATTTTGGATAACAAAGTGCATTATTGCTCATAATTAGGAAAACAGTTCAAGTCGTTTTGGAGGAAGATTTGTCCTGGTGACTATGGTCTCCGGACAGATTCAATATGTAAGAATTGTCACAGGAACAGAAATAGTGGGACACTTTTGCAATGGGAACATCTCTGATGACAGCTGTCTTGGATGCCATTTAAAAAAAGTTTGGATTTTTCATATGCTTGAATTCTTACTGTTTTAAAGCAAACCTTTCAGGATATGAAAATGGAAGTTGCTATTGCCGACTTATTTTTAAGGTGCATGATGAAGGATAAGGATGACCAGGCCCGGCGCTACCGCAAGTTAGGACCCCACCTGGAGCTCCTCCAACCGGACCAGCGCTGACAGCGCTAAAATGAACCTTGCCTATGTAGGCAGGAAACCTAGCACCGGCCCTGAGGATGACAGCCCTGGAGCATGCACCAGATACAGTATCACTATGTTCAAGTCAGCACAGGCTGTGCACAGGTTTCTATTCCGACAGGTTCCTTTTAGGGTGAATTGACATGTTCTTTTGACAGAGAAGCTAGCAACCCTCCCTATACTTGCCTTGTTCACCTACTGGGAAATATCCGATAATTCTAGGTATAGGTTAGCACGTGACCTCCCTACATCCTCCCACCAGAATGCAGGATTTGGGCCAGAGTGACCAATTGTCAGACCTGAACACTGTCATTTGGGGCGGGGGGGTTAAGGTTGTAAACCCTGTGTAAGCTCCTACATGGAGCTTACTCTGAGATTATACTCAGGGCTCCTGCAGGTGAATGTAGCAGCAGGAAAGTGCAGTGAAGGTAAGTTCACGTGGGTGGGGAGTGTCCCTTTCAAGAGAACCTATCACTTTGCTCTGGAACAGCAAAACGACAGATTATCTTTTAGGACCCCTATCACACCAGCAGTGCGCACCACCACACGGCCGCTGGTGTGAGCTGTGAAGGAACTGCAATACGCTAATTACAGAACATTGCACTGTTCACTTTGTTTTGTTCTGTTCGAACTGTATTGAAAAGTTACAAAGTGACATTAATTCAGTTCTATTTACTGCAGCAAATAGCCTTGTCTATGCATTGGGACTGTGGTGGGCAAGGCAGCCCAACACATCTGGTGTAAACGGGCCGTAAGAAGGAGTTCTGTTGATAGGAAGACGATGACATAGAGATGATATGGTGCTTTGTATAAAGAGCAGGTGGGCTAGGGAGCAGAGAGAAGCTAGAAAAAGGAAGACGGAGAGAGGCAGGCACGATGATATAGGACAGGGCTGTGGGTAATGCAGACGAATTGAGACAAGTGTGTCTTGGTGGGAGGGCTACACACAGACAGCAGCCACTGTCGCTGAGGGCATGCTCAGGGTGCAACTGTCAGCACATAATGAGACTGAAACAGCCACACATCCAGACACATCAGCATCGAGAGCGTCCCCTCTGTGACCCAAAACAGCAGGAGACCGCTTTGGGATGCTGACCCCAGGCACACGGGACACCTTGATGTGTCTCCAGTACAACAAGAGTAAACTGCCTGATATGTCCTCTCTGGGTCCCCGTCTCCTACCACCCCCAGCAACTCCGATAGACAGAAATGTCATGACCCCAAACTCAGACACAAAAGAATTCCTAAATGTACCCAGCACCTCCCCTC